AACCGTTCGGAAGAACAATATTGCTAGCCTTTAACAACACCATCATCCATTAGAAATTCCACTTAATCAACTTGAGATCTTTACTATCACATAAACTCAGCTTCAGTCATAAGATCATTTACTATCAAAAATATATCTTGCCAATAAGGACCATCAAAATGTATCATCAAGAAAACACGCGTCTGATAATTCTAATTACTTCGCTTAGGACGGTCTTTTGTTTGAATACGAGTGCTCATGGTGGTTATTACTGTCGAACAGAAATGCTTCAGATAGAATTCGCTCGTACACTATCAGAAGGCTTTCCGAATCATTCCGTACTGTTTCTTTGATCTCTTTTCGCAGTTAATGAGGGAACCAATGAATCGTATCAATGAAGTTACAAATTATTTCCAAATTTGGAGAATTCCGCATTGTTTTGATGCTCTCGGAGTGCAACATACTGGACGATGATGCTCGGCAACAAACCATGAACGCATTTTCTCACAAAACAGAATCGAGAAGTGTAATTCGATGAACCTTATAGTCTTCTCCATCTTTGTATTTATTACGGAACGCAGTATTCCTATCACGAACCCATGTGATGTTTACATCATCACCAAACATGTCCATACAAATGTCGATGTAATAACTGAAAGCTACACTTTGGGATCATCCCTCGAAAAGAGATGTATCTTGAACCGTAAAAACGAGTCTTTATGAACATGACATAATATGACATCATGACATATTATTTATTCTCAACTTTTAATTGCTGTTTTTCTGTGCTGATGCGACTGGATCAAATTTGCAAAAATTATATCAAGGTTTTATAGGTGAATGCCGATTTTATGCGTTTAAGCAGTACCGGGCATGAACTAGACTGCTTCATCATTAGCTTAGAAACATGCATTGAACCTTGATGAAACTGTCAGATGAGGACATCAATCCACAACACAGTACTAATCTCTAGTTCGGGAGGTTCATCCTTCGGTTGCCGCGTAAGCAAATGCGGCTATTCATCCAAGACCTAAACTCTAAAGGAACAACCTATCCGAACTCACTCTAGAGGAAGCATGCTTCCGAAGACATTTCTTCCCTGGTCGGTAGTTTGCATGACACCAAGTTCATTGCAGCAAAGCCACATCCAGCCTCTCGTCGCAGCTAAATTCAATATATTCATCTCACAAATGTGTCAATTGCGCCCGATTTTTGTCTTCATTTTTGTCCTCATTTCACATGTCTTCAAATGATTGCCAAGACCAAATGGAATGATCATTGCTATATTTGTAATCAAATTCTTGTTGCTTTATTGATCACATCGTGGATATTATGGAGAATCTATTTCGTGAAGCACGGCGTGTTCCATCTTATTGATGTTTCGGCTTTAGCATTCTAGTGACAAGGCATCTTCCTAAACATGAGCTACTTGGGCCCGTAGTGATGGTAATGCTCACAGAGATGATGATATCAATTTCGCGAAGAGAACGCACCGTTTTCATCATTGTTCTCATCGTCAAAAGTTGTATTCTTCAGCACATCTATGAGCTCTTTGTAGCTGTTTGTCAGCGTTCCATTATGCAGCCAATCGTTTGGATCCGGATAGAACGTATAAATCCATTCGATCACTGCTTCCATCTTAATTAACATACTTCATTTCTATCTTGATTGAGCTCAACATTTCTCTAAAGTGTCCTTTATATGCTGTGCTAGCAGATTATTGGGTAGAATTAAATCAAGATCACCCTCTCGACAGGATCGCTCGTTGGGGCGTTCGTGATTACATTACACATGTTTCGCACATTTAATCCTCCTCGTGTAAGCTTATCCTGAAAGAGTCGATTCACACAGGAAATTTCGATTCATTGGCAGTTCCACAATCGTTTAGCAATGATTCAACTTGTGTGAGAGAAAAAATCGATTCATTTTTCACTCCTGATATCTAAATATTCTTAAGGAAAATTCACTTCAGAACTGAGAACGTCGCTTAATGGTACACATTCTCTGATACACTTGGAGGATGAATAGACGCCCCTACCACCTCCACCACAACTCTGAATTGTATTGTGATAGTATAAGTCTTACCCTTCCATCGTAGGTATATTGAACGACTCCTTGGAATAAACCAAATAAGAAAGCCACAAAGTTGTGAATATCCATCACTGTCAATGTTTTTTCGTTGAATGCTGGATTCAATCTGCAGTGCATCTGATAATTTTTCATTGCCAAAGCAATTGAAAAAGCGAACAACGACGGTCTGGAATCAACACAAATTGAATTCGTTTTCAATCGCTCACCTCAATGTTTCACTCAACTCACTACGACCCTTCTCAGTAAGTGCCTTGTTCAGAATCGCGGTGAATGATTCACCGACCAATTTGTGGCAATCCGCGGCTGTTTCTCGGAGTACATCGTCCATTACCATCGCATAACCTCAAGTAGAACATAAGCGCTTCTACTTCGAGCAAATCTGGTTACCCCGTATCCCCTGACCGTGTATCTAACGATTTTAGTAATGATAACTTGTAAAGCTGATGATTTTTTCCTGATTGTTTAGCTGTGGAAAATGTACAAGAATAAGTCTAATGACGTAACTCACCGAAATAATCCAAGTAGTACGTCAGGGGAGCTGAGCTCGCTACAGCACCAACTGTCATCTCGGGATGCTCGCGTCGGAACCAGGCATTTAGTGCACCTGAATTTGTAACCGAACATTATTCGAAATTCCAGAGCGATATGCAAACCAACAAGTTAATGGAAACACCAGAAAAGTGTTTGTAGAGAGATTTTTAATCTGATCAGTTGATCATTTCCTTAGAAATTTATCGAAGTCAGAAGATTCACCTGGATACGATCCGCCGAATGTGACCCATTTTGGATTCTTGTAATTGTATTTTTTGTTCGTTTGTTTGATGAAACTCTCAAGGTCTTTGAGTGCTTGATCAACG